CATTATTCTCGATAGATGAATTTTAGCTGAAGCTTACACGCAATTTTTGATTTACAAATGCTAAAAGATAAATATTTGATAATTTGAAAATGCTGGGCAGAGAAACGGATGCTGTATAAGTAACTTGGAGACAAAAAACCCACTAAAGTCCAAAAAAATGGATATACTACTGGAGATATAACTTGGAGAGGGTTGATGTCAGACAGGCGACTCATACCAGTTTCTTTATTATTATTGCTTAGATGGATGGACAAGGTCACAGTTCTCCTGGTGTAAAATAGTTACTCGAGCCCATAGACATGTACAGAGTAAATACCACCACCCATCTAGGCATCCCTGTGCAGCATCATGAGAGGACATGCTGAAGAATATGTTGTATCAGTCAACCAAGCAAAAAAAAACGAAAAGGAATGTTATACTTTTGGTTCTATTTGTGTTTGGTTCTCAAGTAAATGTTTCTTCGAGCCGATTGCGAAATGGACCGACGCGGAACTTCGGCATAGGAAACAAAATAAATCACCCCATTTTGGTATAAAGTGGTATATTTATATTTACTTGCTTCCTTCGGTATTCGCGAGTCGAAGACCGAACTAAAGCTACTTCTAGAAAGAAAACAAAGATACCTGACATCTCATGAAATTCTGGTATGTGAGCCCGGACGGGTTGTTACTGTTGATTTGTCTATTTCTGCCGCCAAGCATTCACCCGTTCTAAACATAACTAAATCTTCGACCTCACGTCTCAAAACGACACTCGCTTTGTGAGGCCAATGCGCCTCAGTAGCCTTTGCCTACTTAAAGTGCCATTGAGTCTCCCCAAATTTTATTTTAAATTTCCGTTAATAATTCCTATTCATCTCCAGTAGACGACTGTCCTGAACAATATCAATCGAAGCGCCACTAAAATATGAGTGAGCTAATGCGATTTATTTTTAATTGATGTGCTTTAAAAAAATAAAACAAAAACAATTTTATTTTTCAGAAAAAAGATATACCAAACGAACATGACCCACAAATGGTACAGACGGAACAATAAAGAGATTGTATACGTAAAAATCGTGTTTCATTTATTTCTCTGAAACTCCGAATTTTCCTATTTCTATCTATGAGGTTTTCTATCGGATTATACCTGGATAGGTTTACGATGCCCGAGTAAAGGATAGCAATATAGCGCCCCTAGCGGCAAACGTAGGCAAACGTTCCAACTCCATACAAATTTGAGGTTAACTTTTACGCTATCGAGAACTTTAAAAAGCTCGAACTAAGTTAGTTTATTTTATTTTATTGCTTAGATGTGTGGACGTGCTCACAGCCCACCTGGTGTTAAGTGGTTACTGGAGCCCATAGACATCTACAACGTAAATGCGCCACGCACCTTGAGATATAAGTTCTAAGGTCTCAGTATAGTTACAACGGCTGCCCCACCCTTCAAACCGAAACGCATTACTGCTTCACGGCAGAAATAGGCGGGGTGGTGGTGCCTACCCCCGCGGACTCACAAGAGGTCCTACCACCAGTAAAACACATTGCTCGTAAAAATTTGTTCTATCCGTTGAGTTCTTGAAAAGCGACTGTGTATCAGAAGATGTAGCGTGGGTAGGCCTCCCACAAGAGACTGATGACATATTAAGGCTCGCTGTGGATTGCTATCGCGAGGAAGCAATCCATCGCCGTCTTCTTTAACTTTTAGATTCGTTTGAGATCTAAAAGCTACGTCCTTAACATGTCACGCTGGAAACATAGTTCTTTTCTGTCATGGAAGCGTTAGTCTTATATTAAGCGTTAGTCGTGTAATAAAAATCAAACCCGCAAAATTATAATTTGCGTATTTTGCGTGAATCCGCAGGGGTAGGTACCACCACCCCGCCTATTTCTGCCGTGAAACAGTAATGCGTTTCGGTTTGAAGGGTGGTGTAGCCGTTGTAACTATATTGAGATCTTAGAACTTATATCTCAAGGTGTGTCGCATTTACGTTGTAGATGTCTATAGGCTCAGGTGTGCTTAGTGCGAGTTTCTTAACGTTCTCGATAGCGTAAAAGTTAACCCAATTTTGTATGCAGTTGGAACAGCGCCCCTAGCGGCAAACGTAGGCAAACGATCTCATTCCATACAAATATGAGCTAACTTTTACGTTATCGAGAACGTCAAAAAATTCGCACTGAGCACACTGTAACCACTTAACACTAGGTGGGCTGTGAGCTCGTACCCATTTAAGCAATAAAAAAAATTATGGACCGTTATGACACAGGATTTTGTCAAGGAACGTCTATTTACTTTAGAATTAAAGAAAAGATGAGCGGTGTCGTGGGACACCGGATAGGAACGAAGTTCCTTATTATAAAAATATTAATTTTATGTTCTATTTGAGGTATAAAGAAAATAAAACTGGAGGTTTCGCAACAACCCACGGTCATTCGGTAACGTGCGAACGTATTGTGGTACACTTCATTCACGGTTGTTTGCATAAGAGTTAGTGTATTGCGCAAACGAACGCTCCGAGATCGTGGTCAATTAATGATAAAAAAATATGTTATTTTTTGTACGTTATTACAAAGTTAAGTCGTACACTGTGTGAATTACTAATAAAAATCTTACGTTACGGACGTTTTTTCCCCGGTTAGGGTACCCCTCCGCATCGTCCCATAAGGAACTTCGTTCCAAAAAACAACTTAACTTGTGTAATGATTTATGCAAAGACAACGGAAGTCTTAGCGGCAGTTAAACCTGAGCTCCAACGATAGTTTTAAGAAAGAAAAAAAAAACTTGATCAACATTCTATGTCGGCCACTGACATGCGCGCATGTGAAGGGCCGTCAAACATTCATTCGCAAACCTAGCGGCTGTGCAAATGGGTTCGCATACTCAATTTGCGAACCCGTTTGCGCTTCCTCCTACACTTGTTTACGAATGTCTCACGAATTTCTCCTCCTTTTTAATTCGTCAAAAGAACATTGAAGAGAAAAAGAGTTTTTAATTCTTTCCCAGACATCATTAACAGCCATGCTGTTTTTATGGGATTTCTTTTGATGAAGATACGCTACACAGTAGACGTCACGAACTATGAAAATGGCGTATAGTATACGTCCGTTACCTTCGCAATCGTCGGCGCAACTGGGCAAGCGAATGTGTGGGAGACTACGCGAAGGTTCGAGGTTCGCGCGCTTTGATGTCTGTTAAAAAACCGACACAGCTTGGAAAACCACGAATGCAGCGAAAACTTTGCATAATCATTCGCAAATGTCGTCCTACACTTGCGGGTTTGCGTATTCGTGCGCATGTGAGTGACCGGTGTAAGAATTAGTGTATTGCGCAAACGAACGCTCTGAGATCGTGGTCAATTAATGATAAAAAAATATGTTATTTTTTGTACGTTAAGTCGTACACTGTGTGAATTAATAATAAAAATCTTACGTTACGGACGTTTTTTCCCGGTTAGGGTACCCCTCCGCATCGTCCCATAAGGAACTTCGTTCCAAAAAAAAACTTAACTGTGTAATGATTTATGCATAGACAACGGAAGTCTTAGCGGCAGTTAAACCTGAGCTCCAACGATAGTTTTAAGAAATAAATAAAAAAAACTTGATCAACATTCTATGTCGGCCACTGACATGCGCGCATGTGAAGGGCCGTCAAACATTCATTCGCAAACCTAGCGGCTGTGCAAATGGGTTCGCATACTCAATTTGCGAACCCGTTTGCGCTTCCTCCTACACTTGTTTACGAATGTCTCACGAATTTCTCCTCCTTTTTAATTCGTCAATAGAACATTGAAGAGAAAAAGAGTTTTTAATTCTTTCCCAGACATCATTAACAGCCATGCTGTTTTTATGGGATTTCTTTTGATGAAGATACGCTACACAGTAGACGTCACGAACTATGAAAATGGCGTATAGTATACGTCCGTTACCTTCGCAATCGTCGGCGCAACTGGGCAAGCGAATGTGTGGGAGACTACGCGAAGGTTCGAGGTTCGCGCGCTTTGATGTCTGTTAAAAAACCGACACAGCTTGGAAAACCACGAATGCAGCGAAAACTTTGCATAATCATTCGCAAATGTCGTCCTACACTTGCGGATTTGCGTATTCGTGCGCATGTGAGTGACCGGTGTAAGAGTTAGTGTATTGCGCAAACGAACGCTCTGAGATCGTGGTCAATTAATGATAAAAAAATATGTTATTTTTTGTACGTTAAGTCGTACACTGTGTGAATTAATAATAAAAATCTTACGTTACGGACGTTTTTTCCCGGTTAGGGTACCCCTCCGCATCGTCCCATAAGGAACTTCGTTCCAAAAAAAAACTTAACTGTGTAATGATTTATGCATAGACAACGGAAGTCTTAGCGGCAGTTAAACCTGAGCTCCAACGATAGTTTTAAGAAATAAATAAAAAAAACTTGATCAACATTCTATGTCGGCCACTGACATGCGCGCATGTGAAGGGCCGTCAAACATTCATTCGCAAACCTAGCGGCTGTGCAAATGGGTTCGCATACTCAATTTGCGAACCCGTTTGCGCTTCCTCCTACACTTGTTTACGAATGTCTCACGAATTTCTCCTCCTTTTTAATTCGTCAATAGAACATTGAAGAGAAAAAGAGTTTTTAACTCTTGCCCAGACATCATTAACAGCCATGCTGTTTTTATGGGATTTCTTTTGATGAAGATACGCTACACAGTAGACGTCACGAACTATGAAAATGGCGTATAGTATACGTCCGTTACCTTCGCAATCGTCGGCGCAACTGGGCAAGCGAATGTGTGGGAGACTACGCGAAGGTTCGAGGTTCGCGCGCTTTCATGTCTGTTAAAAAACCGACACAGCTTGGAAAACCACGAATGCAGCGAAAACTTTGCATAATCATTCGCAAATGTCGTCCTACACTTGCGGGATTGCGTATTCGTGCGCATGTGAGTGACCGGTGTTAGAACACATTTCCATTATAAATGAATTCCGAATACCAATTAACTTTTCGTATCACACACTATGAGAAATCAATTATGCATTTTTGCTACGTTACGTAGTTTTTACACGGGTCGTTTTAATTAAGACACGGCCAGTTGATTGTTTTTCGATTAAACTCCTTAAGTGTTTTTTTGTTTTTGTTTTAAAAGTTTCGATTTTACATAAGTTCTCGTCACGAAATAAATTATTATAATGAAAATAGGTTTTGTGATAGCTCTGTTTTTTGGTATGTGCGTTTTAAGGTTATTGTGGTTAATTACATAATTATATTATGTGTATATAAATCGAGAGTTGAAAGGTTATTTGGTTTAAGCTAAATTTATCTTTGTAATAATTAAAGGTGTCCTTTATTTGGTGTTAACATCAACAGTTCGATGTTTTTAATTGAACTTTAATTATGTTTTCCATTCAAATAACTGAAGAAGGTTTTTTTTGTTATGATATTTTTTCTAAATTTTAAACTTTCAATAGCTGTCCTGTGAAATTGCCAAAAATGTCGCTTCAAATAAATCTTCACTCAATCACTTTCAACCCCTCTATATATTATTATGTATGCATATGTTTATTACTCCTGATAATTTCATACGTTAGGCGCGAATAATAATAACTTTTTGTTGTTATTTAAAAATCAACAGAACATAGGTAGTGTTGAAGTGTAAAGACAAAAAGTCCTTTTAAAAGTGTCATTGAGCATCATACCCGATCCGGTAGATACCGTGAGCTCACCTACACGTCAAGAAGCTGATATAGCCTCTCAAGGCTAGCAGCATAGGTAGGAAAAAAATTGACCAGCATCGTGATGACGTCATTGTATTTCTTCTTGTGCAGGTTGAGGGTATACCTACTGTTTTTTTCCCCTACCTATGCTGATAGCCTTGAGAGGCTATATCAGCGTTACCCTAGCGTGTAGGTGAGCTTTCGGGGCTCAAACCGGAGGTGTTGCTAACACTGGCCCTAGCAAGAGCGGTGCTTCGCAGAATCTACCACCGGATCGGAAACGCGACCCGCTGAGAAGATCCGGCGAGAAACTTTTTTTTTTATTGCTTAGATGGGTCGACGCGGTCACAGCCCACCTGGTGTTAAGTGGTAACTGGAGCCCATAGACATCTACGACGTAAATGCGTCACCCACCTTGTGACATAAGTTCTAAGGTCTCAGTATAGTTACAACGGCTGCCCCACCCTTCAAACCGAAACGCGTTACTGCTTCACGGCAGAAATAGGCAGGGTGGTGGTACCTACCCGTGCGAACTCACAAGAGGTCCTACCACCTAGTATAATGTCATTATTATTATTATTATTATTTCAGTCGAAAACGTAACAGCGAAATTCGTGATGCATTTATCGAACATTCCGTCGGATCCATTCTTGAAATACAATTACAACAGATATCTCTGGCCGAATTTACAGCATCAAACAGGTTATCCACAAACAAATTTAGATGTAAATAAGCAACGTTTGCGTGATCTATTAAAAAAGACGATTCTAAACGAGATCTACAATAAATTATACAAAGAAGTACGCAGAGTACCATTTTATGTTATAGATAAAGATTACATTAAATTAGACAATACTGATATTCCGTTATATTATGTCACAGATCACATTGATATAACTGATATCGATTTTCCGAATAAATACGATCGATTTGGTGACGAATACATCGATCTATCGGATCTGGCTAGAGGTCGCCCTAGAAACGGCTTGAATGATGAGATTAAAAAGGATTATTCCAGAAGAAACCAACGCAATAACGATGAGAATAGTGATGAGAACGATGACAATAGTGATGAGACCGATGACAATAGTGATGAGAACGATGACAATAGTGATGTAAACGATGACAGTGACAGTGATGAGGAGACTAGTGAAGAATCGAGTAGCAGTGAGGTTTCATCCGAAGAAGATTCCGATTCCAAAGACAGTGGTAAAGTTGATAGCAAACATATGTACACTCAGGGAAGGACCCGCTATCTCAATTCTGACGCAGAATCAAGAAAGAGATTGGAATATTTCTTGCCGAAAAGCTACAAGTGGAGTTCAGAAGAATATGACAGATTAGGCTATTTTTGGTTTAATGGACCAAGAGGCAAGGATCCGGTTCCCAAACGATGAGACATAAATAAATTTATATATTTTTCCGTTTATTATTGATTAAATTGGGTAATAATAACGAGTTATTTGGCGCTACGCAATGAATTACCGAGCTAAATAATGCCTCAGTGTGAACTGCACTATTTCAGGTTATCAGTCAAAATGGACGCTACAATTAAGAATTTGGCAGTATGATAATAAATTAACATTGATAATGGCGTTGCAGACTCTAGCGCGTATGTCACATGAGCTATGTCAGGTATAAGCCCGATCATGAATCAGTTTTACTGATAAATTTTACTTCATATCAGTTTCATTACTACCCGTTCTGTAATTAATGCAAATAAAGCTTATTTATGCCTAGTAAGCTATAGGCTATGACGAAAAACTTCACCACTTTTTTTTATCAATAGGTCAACGAATTTTTTTTATTACAAGTTTCAGTGTTACCAGTAAAATTATTTTCGAAACCGTCTCTTAAGCGAAAAACAAAAGAGAAAATTTATGACTGAACGAATAACGAACGAACAGGCTCACGGCCCACCTGATGCCAAGCAGTCGTCGGAGCTGATGGACGGACATAACCAACGTAAATGCTGCCACCCACCTTGAAACGCCAGTTCTAAGTCTTAGCTTTTACGGTACAACGGCTGCCCCGCTCTTCAAACCGAAACGCATTACTGCTTCACAGCAGACAAAAGTAGCATAGTGGCAGTACTTTGCCTACTGACTTATAACCTTTAAGCTACTTTCAGACTACGCTATACTATAGTGCCATGTAGTATAGCAGCCTATACTTAATCAATAATATATAGTACAGTACAGTGAGAATGTGTCCATAATAATGTATGGTTCGCGATATTGTAACTATACCTGAGACCTTAGGACTTATATCTCAAGGTGGGTGGCGCATTTACGTCGTGGATGTCTATGGGCTCCAGTAACCACTTAACACCAGGTGGGATGTGAGCTCATCCACCCATCTAAGCAATAAAAAAAAATTGTTGTGCTATGAGCTATATGCTATCTCTGAAAGCAGCTTTAGTACTTCGTAGCTCTCCATATCTCTGTCTCTCTCTCCCGTATCCACATTACCTTTACGTAATGCATTTTCCAAGATCGTTAATTATTAAAAATCGAACGACAATAAAAAAAACAATTTTATATTCAGAATAATTTACTTTATTCAATCACTGGATTAAACAATAAAATATCAACATTCTAATAACTCTAAGCGATCAACTACGTAAACAATAATATTTCGATAATTAAAATTATAGTTCTACATAAAAATTGTTAAATTAACTTGGAATTTATTTAAAAATAAAATAAAATAAACGTTTTAAAACATTATTGTATAAAAGGAATTTTATCTTGTTTTTTTATATATTTATATTTAGATTTACGACGTACTCATCATACTTACAATTTTTTATATATTCCCTTATTATAATTCCCTTATCATCGAATTAAAACTAAAATAGACAATAATACTCATCGACAAAATGGCAAAACGAAGAATAAAAACGATTGGAAATTCTTATCTTCCATTTTAGTAGACTTTTCGCAGCCCTGACAACATTATACGCGTTGACAATTAAACATAATTTACATTTTAAACTATTTAATATTCTTAGGCAATGTTTTGACGTATACCAATATATTTAAAAAAAAAACGCCATCTTATTATTCTAAAAAAAAAAACAATTTACCAACTATCAAATCCTCAAATTTTTCGTTTCAAAATTAGTTAGTTTTCATGAATGCGACTGATCTGAGCTTCGTTGGATTCGTTTGTGAGACATTAAACTATTGCAAATCAAACCTAAGATCTGTTTTGTTGGAGAAAAGTTTTTCGATTACGTACAGTGGAGAGCATATTCCGTGATTACATTGTAACACGAAAAAAAAACAACAAAAAAACGTCCATGTCATATAACAGCTTGTCAAATGTCAAAATAATATGTCAAACATCAACGGCGCCAAAACGAGTCCGATCTTTAAAATTTTTTATGAATCCTTTATGTTATAAAAATATATATGTATTTTGAATGGTTCAGATAGTAATTATTCTGTTAAGTATTATTATTTATACATTTAAATTTAAATATGTATTAAATGTTTTTTATAAAAAACCTTTTCGACGAATTTTTCTTAATATTTCACTGTTACAGTTATGTGGTAACAAAAAACTCATATTAGAAAATTAAAAAAAAAAATCGAATCCGTAATTAAGCCATTCTCACACCGTATTAAATTAATTTAGAATTACATAAAAAAATATTTGTTAAAGAAACTTACATTAGAACGCATTGACGTAGGTGATATATATGTATATATTTGAAGTGAATAAAAACAAGTTTGTCTACAAATGCAATTCATAATATTGTCTTGTTTCAATTGCTTTTGTTAATTGCAAGATTTAACAAAGAAAATACTATCGACATTTCTAGTAAATATGTGATTACGTTTAATTTTATTATTTCATTAATTATTATTAATTTTACTATCGAATCGGAAATAGTTAAATCGTGATTCGATTTTAAAAGAAAAATAATTAATTAAATACAACATTTTGATTTTAGTGATTTTAAACATTAATGCTAAAATAATATGAGCTGAATGATAAAAACGAAAGGCATTTATAAATCAATGTAATTTATTTCCGACTTATTGCAACACTACGGTACCGATGTCACGATGACAAATGACATATTATATTAAATTGACAGCTCGTAAAATTCGAATAAGCAGCAGCAATTCAAATACTTCTGTATTTCAATTCTGTATTTATAATTTAATAAAACCAAGAGAATGTTCTCTTTGCATAAATAAAAAAAAAACCGGACATATAGTCCGGCTGCCGGAAAAATGCGAACGAACCATACTAGGACACACGAACCAACATAAATTTGTATATAAGGCAATTTCGATGTCAACTCGAAGCTAAATCCATCAAGAGCACATCCTTACAGCGGACGGACTATAATCGAAGAGCGAAAAGCTATTTGGTTTAAGCGGATTTTTAGCAAATTATCAGGAGATCCATTTAAAGTTTAAGCATTTGGAAAATATATCATAAGAAAAAAAGCTTCTTCAGCTATTTCAATAAACTTAAATGAAGTTCAATTAAAAACATAGAAATGTTGATCCAACTAATAACAAATAAAATGCACCTTTAATTACAATGATAAATGTCGCGTAATAAACAAATTATCGCTTAAATCAAATGGCATTTCGCCTCTCTATATTGCTTTTTTTCTTTCATATATTTTTAATGCCAAAACTTTGAGATGTCAGATGACTCAAAAGTCAGATAGTCTGGCTACGTAGAAAATTTAGTTGACAACAAAAAGTATGGTAAAGTTTTTTATGGGTGATATAATAATTAAAATATAATATAAAGATCTCCTAATTGTATTTAGGTAGAGCGCAGGCGAACTTCAAATTTTAATTAAGCCATTATCACGGAGTCTTTTGTGTAGAAGATTCTACCGAAAATGAGGTAGGTGTCAATAAATATCGTTAGGCATCGTTTGAAGAACTGTAATTCTCGACCTTAACATACTAATTGTATGGTTCATTTTTCGGTTATAAAATATACGCGGGTAATTATTAATTAACGCTTTCTTTAAGCATATGCTTTGAAAAATGTAAAAATTTTTTATTTAAATGTATATACACAATTTTTGAATATACCTTTTGTTTATAGTCTATGCTCGGCGCCATTAAATTATGCATTAAAACAAAAAAAAAGACGAAAGAATATATTAAACTGTTCTAAACAGACAATAATATTTTATATTTTAACGAAAACACCACTGAAAAGTGTAAGCGCGGAACGATAGTAAAAAAAAATAACGAAAAAAGAAACCTACCATAAACCTCAGTCTTTCTGGTAGAAAATCCAGTTGAGCAACGCTTGCAACACCATCGCCAGTACGAACCCGCCGAACAGATCCCACGAGTGTCCCGTGCTTGGCACGCGACCCAAACTCTGGGGTCTGGTCGCCTTCTGACCCTCGGTCAGCAGGTCTACGGCCTTCGAGAGCCTCATGATGGCCAGCTTCTGCTCTCTGAGGTTCGCGTCGATCGAATACAGCGTCTGTTTCAGGGTTCGTCTGCGGAGAGAACTATTGTTAGGTTACAAATACACACGATCGACCGACGCGCCCGGTCAACGACCCCGATCGAACAAGTTCGCGTTACATTGCGTACTCGCAAAATATCATCTCAACCTTTGATATTTAATACATGATAATTAGATCGTCATAGGTACAGTGGGTAGATATTTGTACATTTCTTTTCCATGTATAACTTTTGTTATGTGTTGTTTTTTTCTATATGGAGTTGTAACAGCTATGTTGTACCAGTTGTAATGTATGAAGTCGTCGTGGCCTAACGGATAAGACGTCAGGTGCAATCGTGTTGAACGATGCACCGATGTTCGAATCTCAGGCGGGTACCACTTTTTCTAATGAAATACGTACTCCACGAATGTTCACGATTGACTTCCACGGTAAAGGAATAACATCGTGTAATAAAAATCGAAACCCGCAAAATTATAATTTGCGTAATCACTGGTGGTAGGACCTCTCGTGAATCCGCGCGGGTGGGTACCACCACCCTGCCTATTTCTGCCGTGAAGCCGTAATGCGTTTCGGCTTAAAGGGTGGGGCAGCCGTTGTAACTATACTTGAGACCTTAGAACTTATATCTCAAGGTGGTTGGCGCATTTGCGTTGTAGATGTCTATGGGCCCCAGTAACCACTTAACACCAGTTGGGCTGTGAGCTCATCCACATATCTAAGCAATAAAAAAAAAGGTTCCCTACGTTTGCCGCTGTTTCAACTCCATACAAAATTTGAGTTAACTTTTACGCTTACGTTTAATAAAGTCTAACTTGAAAATATATCGAATTGAATTAGTTACATAGGCGATGCCCAATTTTGGGGGGTAGTATCTCACGAAAGAGGCCAATGCGCGCTAGTCCTGTCAAAATAAGATGACAAGGGACTCCAGCATCAATGTCGCTATCCATTGCGCAGAAGACAGGAAAGGAGTGGAGGAACATGGTCCGAACGAAACTGCTCCGTAAAGGTTACGACCCTCAGCACTGGGGAACACGATGGAAGGAGAAGCAGGACCTCATGACATCCAACGAGATTTAAAGCTACCTCGCCGATCTTTTTCCCTACCTATTCCAGTGACCTCAAGGGGTCAAACTAGATGATGAGCTCCCCTCCACGATGTTTCCCGAGCGCTATGACGTTTCCTTCTTCAAAAGAGGCTTGTGGAGAGTATTAAGCGGTAGGCAGCGGCTTGGTTCTGCCCCTGGCATTGATGAAGTCCATGGGCGACGGTTACCACTCACCATCAGGTGGGCCGTATACTCGTCTGCCTACAAGGGCAATAAAAAAAAATTCACTGAACTAGTAGGTGAGCTTACTGAGCTCTCACCTGAAGACGTTTGCTAACACTAGCCCTAACAAGGGCAGTGCTTCGCAGAATCTACCACCGGATCGGAAACGCGACCCACTGAGAAGATCCGGCGAGAAACTCAGTGGGCTGTGTCTGTGGGTTAATTTACTCGTCGAGCCCTTCGTCGCAAGCGACGGCTTCGGCGAGAACGATGATCGGTGCTTGAGGTACCTAAAAGCAGCGTTAGTGGATCGGGAGGATCCGAAATGACGTGCACACGCCGTTAAAACTAGAAGCATAGCTTACGTGGAAGTCTTAGATCTTCTAGCGAGCTCGTCTCGGCTGTCAGAGTCGGAGGCCCTGTGCGAGAGATCCCGCTCGCGATGTCTGGTCTCGGGCCCCGCCCTGGGGGACCCGCCCCCCGAGCGGAGCGTCCTTATAACGAAGTCCTCCTCGTATTCCAGCACCTCGTCAGGTTGCCACGGACTGACCAGATATAAATATTCATATATACATTAAAGGAAGAGGGTAGACCTAAGAAGAAATGGATGGATTGCGTGAGAGACGATATGTGTAAGAGGGGAGTGAGCGAAGGAATGGTATATTATAGAGGAGTATGGAAGGAGAAAAACCAGATATAAATATTCATATATACATTAGAGCAAGAGGTATACCTAAGAAAAAAATGGATGGATTGCGTGAGAGACGATATGTGTAAGAGGGGAGTGAGCGAAGGAATGGTATATGATAGAAGAGTATGGAAGGAGAAAACATGTTGCGCCGACCCCAGGTGACTAGGAGAAGGGCAGGAGAATGATGATACATATCTGGATGAGCAATTAACAAATAAAAAAAAAACTTATTGCATACTGTATAAACACCAATGAAATTAATGGAAATATTAAGTAAAAATTTATATAATAAAGACGTTAGTTATTTTTTAATATATATAATTTAGTGATTTTTATAAAAATGATCATGGGCATCTTTCATGTTAATAGTAGATTAGGTAGTAAATAGGGATTAGGTAGTAATAGTGTAATTGTTTAATGTGATTTCCTCTGTGATTCAGATTTATTGGTACTTCCTCACAATTTAAAAGTTAGACTGGTTTTCGTTATCCTGTCCTATAGTTGTAAGGAACATTGTGTACTTAGCACTTTTTTCTTGATTAGTTGTGCGCTCATGGCTTATGTTACAAGCCAGCTTTTTTACTTGTTGTTATTTATTGTGTATCTTTTCTTTTTTAGCTTGTAATGTGTATTGTGTTCCTTATAAATAAATAAATAATAGGCGATGAAAGAAAAAAAAATAAGGTTCCCTACGCGGCGCATTGAAGTAATTATAATTGTGTAGTACCTAAATTGCCTTCTTTTGTTTGCTAATTTATTTTATATATTATTATTTTAAATCTCTTAGGACTAGATTAATTCACGAAAAAATATTTACGTACCTCGTATTTACGTGATTGTATTTCCAGCCTTGATCGACAATACCTGAAAAACAAAAATGATATTTTCATGAGAATATTAATGTTTTTTTGCAGTATATATAGATACGTACATACGTTCACTCATGCACGTAAGCATACATAAATGTTACGCCATCTGTCATCGAATAGCAGAAATTAATATAAAAGGACTAGTCGTACCGAGAACGCTTGAGAAGTCTAACGCCATCTATTATCAAATAACGGAAACACACATCGAAACGACTAGCACTACCGGAAATGTTCCTGATAATTGTCGAATTGTCGTGTCGACTATAAAAGCGTTGCAGAGATGACACGAAGGCAGTAATCGGATCTACTCGAAGCGAAACAACGAAGGGATCATTTGAAGCGAAGCAGAAGAAGTGAATTGAGAATTGTAAAGTGTTCCTTAAGTTTTAAATAGAGTTTTAATTTGTACTTCGGTAAAAGTTTTATTTATCCCAAACTCCAGCGCGTAACAATAATATGCTCACACATCATCATCTTTTTTTTTTTTTGTTGCTTAGATGGGTGGACGATCTCACAACCCACCTGGTGTTAAGTGGTTACTGGAGCCCATAGATATCCACAACGTAAATGCGCCACCCACCTTGAGATACAAGTTCTAAGGTCTCATGTATAGTTACAACGGCTGCTCCACCCTTCAAACCGAAACGCATCACTGCTTCACGACAGAAATAGGCAGGGTGGTGGTACCCACCCGCGCGGACTCACAAGAGGTCCTACCACCAGTAAAGAATGGTGCGTGCTAATCATTTTCTAATATTAGACAGAAATATTATAGCGATAATAAAAAATGTTTTAAAAGCTACCCACACGCAAGCTTCAACTTTAACAATGACGTAAATAAGATCAGTGTTGCCAGATTGAAAAGAGTGTTGCCATTTCAATAAAAAACTTCCACTTTTAAAAATGACGTAAATAAGATCAGTGTTTCCAGATCAAAAACGGTGTTGCCGTTTCAATGAAAAAAAAACACTTCCACTTTTAAGAATGACGTAAGAGATCAGTGTTGCTAGATTGAAAACGGTGTTGCCGTTACATTGAAAAATAAAACCTACCGTCGGGAACGGTGCCTTGGGTTGCTCGGTGGAAGTAACGCGGCACCCACGGAGCAACCAGGTTCCTCGCCCTGGCTCTCTGGGCTTCCTCTATCACAGTCTTCTGTTCCGTAGCCGCGATCTGAGCACAACAGACCGAAGTTAATGTAGTGCGTGTTTTTTAACGTTCTCGATAGCGTAAAAGTTAACTCAGATTAGAAGACCCGCACGCCTCAAATGACCACGCAACAAATGACCCATACCTGATCATCATTCTGTATCGCCTCCGAGACCTTCAGCCAGAGCCTCTGCGACTCGTAGTCCTGCTGGTTCTCCAGCCGCACCAGGTACCTGGGCAGGCGCTGCTCTTTCAGGAAACCAACGTCCAACAGATTTGATTCTTCCTGAATAAAAAAAACAAACGTGTGGTACAGCTTTACCGCGGCGGTCCCCCGCCGCGGTAAAGCTGTTGCATAGCATTTTTTATCAACTTATGCAATTATAATTAGACAATAATAATTTAATATTAAAACAATAATAAAATAAGCACATGCTATATTTATAAATATTAACAAAAGAATAACATAACTATCCCCTTCACACTAATAAGCTAGATCGCACGAGAGAGAGAGATGGGCAGACTTTTCATGATGCGCATGCAGTGCGACGTCACGCCGCGCGCTTATTCACAAACACTACACAAGTGCAACGTGCGAATGTGTTGAACGCGAGTTACACGGTAGGCGGAGTGGGGGGGCGGGTGTTAGGTTTTATTTTCGTTACGGAATTTCTTGATTCGGTCGCGGCGGTCAAAGCCCGCGATAAAAGCTATGCAATAGCTTAAAAAAATTGAAAAGTATTCTCTTTAATACTTCAAACGGGTCAGGATTGTAGATAAAAATAAAGATATGCATTTTATTAATATTTTAGAAATTAAACGTGCTACAAAATTGCTATTTCATATAGGGTAAAACCTGGATAGATGCCGCAGCGGGATAGATGCCTCATGTTCTATAAACCTAAATTCCCGCACTCATAACAAAAAAATTATTGAAGAAGTAGGAACCACAGTCACCATATACCTTATGTACCATTTGAAAATCGCGTGGTGACGAAGTGTTTTCCTCGTGCATGTAATTTTCTCCGCGCGGAATTTCACGAACACGTCAAAGATTTAAAGGTTAATATTTAGCGTGGTATAACTTTATAATTAGTGTAAAATTCCATTATATTTTTTACTACGTGAATATATAGGTTCATTGAGTCTGCATCTAGGTGTAAATAAATGCTATTATGTTTATAATTTATTTACAAAAAATTTGGGTATCTATCCTTTTCAAAAAGGATAGTTGCCCTGATTTTTTGGGGTATAGGTGCCTTTAGGGGCATCTATCCCTCTATACTCTGCCATTTCAGAATATAGCTGAAATATGGCACGACAACATAAAACACAAATAAATGATTTACAGTTCAAGCAGTGAATACTGAAATATGGCACGAAAACATAAAACACAAATAAATGATTTACAGTTCAAGCAGCGAATATGAAGACAATCCACTTAACTATAAAATGAAAGGAAATAAAACAATAGATTTGCCCCTAAAGAAATCTAAGGGATAAACCTAAAACGCATGTAAATATATCTGCATTGAATGTTTTGAAAACTATAAAAATACGAAGTCGCAATCCGACTGGATTCAATGTTTAATGTTTCAGAACTAGCTACATGAAACGTGTTTTTCAGAAATGATGTAGAAGATGTGGAAAATTGAAAGCACTATCCAGTTAAACTTCAATTTGACAAAATAATAAAGATATCTTTATTGTGTTAATTTAATTAAAAAAATATGATTTTGCAATGTACACATTGACACTTAATGTGAATATTTTATAAACAATTAAGAATTTATATTTTTGTTAAATAAATATTTGTAAAATTTAATAAAAAAATAGGATAATGCATGTTGAAACTAAAAAAATTGTAGTTTAGCTTACGCTTACTTAACGCTTTAAAAATTTAATTATGATCATTTGTGTGATATGAGAATTATCTTTTAATTATAAACATTGAAAGACTTAAAAAATACAAAATATTTTTTATTATTATGACCCATGTTTCTTGGAGACAATTGCTCTGTTAGGAATAGAACTTCTTAATATTTGGATTGGTTTTTTCGTTTACACGGTATAAAGGGCATCTATCCTGCACTGCAGGCATCTATCCTACTCAGTATTTTCTTGGTGGGGCAACTATCCATACAGGTAGGCATCTATCCTCCAAAAAAAGGTTCTACGAAAAACGAGTTTCTGCAAAATCTGTATTTGATAGGTTTAAAAAAATGTATACTAATTAAACATAAAGGATTGAGCTAACTACATTAATGGAAATTATTCGTATAAAATTAATATTTTCAAAATTACATGACTATTTCAAAAAGTGGGGCATCTATCTCGGCTTTACCCTATACAGGTTGGACAGTATATCGAACTAACGCATCCATATTAGGACACCTCAATATTCAAACCAGGCTCTCTTCCTTTCCTTCTCTCTCTTCTGCCTTAAGAGGATATTTGAGGCTATCAGCGCAAAAGTGGCCTAACCCACAATTTTTCATAATCATGCTTATAATTATGTATATTGCAATTTATTTAAATTTTAAAACGATTGTATTAAGCTTTAGATTAGTTCATGGCATTATCATCCCTTATCTTGCGACAAAAGAACACCGCGTTAACTGTGCTAATAACACGAAACTCACCCCTGTTTTCTTGTCTTTAATGTCTATTTTTCCATCCCAATAGCCCTCGACTGTGGCCACTGTGTCCTTGCCTTTCTTGATCCGTCCGGAGATGGCGTTCGTTTGATCGGAGCCACCCAAAAAGGACTACAGAATTATATATATGTACATATATGCATTAAATAGTAAGTCATCGCGGTCTAAAGGATAAGACGTCCGGTGCATTCGTATCGAGCGATGCACCGGGGTTCAAATCCCGCAGGCGGGTAAATATACAATCTAAAGATGAGACAAAGGTCATGCCTCAAGGTTGAGCTTCTTGTGAACTCTTCAACATTGATCATAATTTCTGGTGGTAGGACCTCTTGTGAGATCGCACGGGTAAGCACCACCACCCTGCCTGTTTCTGCTGTGAAGAAGTAATGCGTACCGATTTAAAAGATGGGACAGCCGTCGTACTATACAACTGAGATTTGACGCTGTCGACGTCTATGGACTCCGGTAATCACTTAGCACCACGTAGGCCGTAAGCTCATACTATAAAGGTAATAAAAACAGCTTAAATACAGCCCAAAACAGCGCCATCACCATGGATGTAGCAACACCGTCTGGACACGTCGAACTGTCCTGCAATTTTCATTGACCTATTTATAATATCAACTTACCCTCAATTTGAACTCGACGTCAGCCTGGTACCCTGTGTCGGTGCACATGATGTGGACCTTGAAATTAATAAATCGACATATTAAAATCACACCCTGTATGTGTATTATTGTGGCACACGTGAATAGTATCGATGGAGGCCAGTTCAAAGGAATCCAAAATCGATGGATTGACCAGTTCAGGACTTGAAGCCGGCTAGTGTCTGGCGGACCCCATCGGTCCCCGTGGGGGTCGTGAAGCGACTAAGGGATGGGATCCACCAAAGAAGAGGCGGTAACGTTCTCCGAGTATTTCACCAGCAAATTTTCTGGTGATAGCACGTTAAGTTAAAAGAATACACACAAATTGAATTCAAAAGCTCTGTATTGTCTTGCCAAAGAAAATCAGCGTTTTGGCGAAAGATCAAAGTCACCTATGGACATCAACAGGCTATTGCATGCCAATATAAAGTTAATAAGCTTGTGAAAAGCCCCACAATAATGTACTGCACTGATTTTGATTATTTCATTATTATTATTTAGATAGGTGGTCGAGCCCCACATGCAGTTAAATGGTAACCGGAGCCCATTGACATCTACAACGTAAATGTCGCCACCCGCCTTAAGACACGAGTTCTTATGTCTCAATATAGCTACAGAAGCTGCCCCACCCTTCAAACCTTACTGCTTCACGGCAGAAATAGGCAGGAAGGTATTACCTACCCGTGCGGACTCACAAGAGGTCCTACCACAAGTAAAGTTACATTAAATTCCCTTAAAACCGTATACCCACCTTTCCTCCCAACTCCATACTAAGCGTTCCTATAACGATACCCTTGCAATGGGCATACGGTGCTGTCGTCACATAGGTCTCACCCCAGTTCAGCAAGTGGATCCTGGCGCACCCCTCCAATATGGCCGACGTTGAATTACCTAAAAGTTTCCTTCTTTTTACTCCCATATGACCAGCATGATGGCTATTACGATAAAATGGGGGGAGGATTTAGGCCCTAAGCATCGTACTTTAAGGATCTTTCGCATCACCCCTGATCACTGGCTTGAGTGCTACTTGAATCAATGCTAAAGAGATGCAAATACTGTTGAATAGCTGGAAGAATCCCCTCCACGGATACTGACAGTTAGCTTCCACTTGTACAGCACATGATAACACTTTGGAGTTCAAAAGCTTACTGCGAGAAGGTGATGGTGGCGCCCGTGGACATCAGCGACGTTAATGCCTCCACCCTGAGAGAAACGTGAGTTCTACGCCATGTTCGTTCTAAGCCACTAACGTGCCTTCAAAAGGCCATCTTGAAAATGTCGTTAGCGCTATTCAAGTTTGTGCCGTATTTATTACGCTACACATTAAAAGCTGACGTGAAAATGAAAAGCTACTTACCATAAAACTTAGAACGCGCCAGAAGGCTTCCTTCGATCACGTAACCCTCCTTTCTGTTCGAAATGTAAAAGGCTGAAATAGGGGGGTGATGGGAAACCTGTGGAAGGGAGGAAAGCTGTATCAGAAACTTCGTTTTTCTTTATCTCTCAGTCAACGAGTTAGTCGTGTCCGGGGTCCATAGACATCAGAGCGTGAACGCCGTCGCCCACCTTGAGACATGAGGTCTACTGTCTCAATTGTATAGTATCTGCAAGTTCGATTTTAAATACACGGCGTTAACCCTTTTGATTGGCTGACTCGGTGCGCCGAGGGTCGTGGATTCGAATCCCACACCGGGGCAAACGTTTGTGTCATGAACAGGTTTGTTTGTTCTTTGTTTTAGTGTTTATTACCTATATACGTATATATAATATTGAAACGTATAGAAGCGTGTATGTCAGTCTCTGGTACCCATGACGCAGGGACTCCAAATTTGGACAGGACGACTGTGCGTGATTTGTTTCCAGTTATTTATTTATTTATTTATTTCGGGTTGGTACTGAGATCCCACACGGGTAGCTCCATCTTGACTATTTCTGTCTGAATGATATGCACCTCATGAGGTTAATCGGCTGGATCGTATCACCGTCATTCAACTGGGGATTCCCCTCGTAACAGGTGCTACAAATAAAAATACCAATCTCCTAAAACGCGATTCACCTGCTCAGCCACATAGTAAGTGTAGGATTCCGGCTGCTTATGCTTCCAGCAGCATCGGAATGTCTCGCCCAAAACTGGATTGTAGGGTTTCTTAAGACCCTTTGGTTTTCTGTAAAGCCCTGACAGGTACCAGCGGAGCACGCTCTTGAACCTCTGATACGGATCTTCTAGAGTTTGGGCCCTGGAAATTTTGTGGATGCGATCAGGTTTTGACCACAGAACTTTTCGCCTATATATCCCAAGATGTCACGACAATTGTCATAGTTAAATCGAACTGATATTGCCCATTTTGACGGAACAGAAAGCTACGTTTATGGACATATCTTTCGCAATCACTTTTATTCGAAACTATCTGAAGAAAGTATAGAAAAAAACGCGAGAACATCGTAAAAGCAGTTGTTATTATTGTCCCAACAGATGTATCTACACATATATATGTATCTATACATCTTTTGGCCCACAGACGTCCACTGCTGGATATGATCGACCCTGGGCCTTGTCACAACGATCGTTCCTACGCCGGATTCCTGAGACCTTCATTAATATCGTCGGTCCACCTCGTGGAAAGGCTACCCACGCTACGCCTTCAGCTACCTGTTTACCACTCGAGACTTTTCAGCCCCGGCGACCATGTGTCGTCACTGCCAGCTCGCAATCCTTTGGTCTATGTCTATTAACGAGGGCCTCCTGCGAAACTCCTAACTCTAATCATCTACTAGAATGGAAAAGATTAAGTCTTTTATATATTCACATATTTTGCAGAAATCGCTAGAGTACTTTTGAAAAAAACTTCAGCTTAAAAATACATACAAAAATCAATGCTAAATTCATAGAAAGATAATTTTGTTAGTTTATAAATGTTATTAACTTATTGAGTACGTGAGATTGAGATACGTCCGCACAGATCGATACCTAATGCCTAATAATCAAACTGCGCAGTAGTCGGTATTCCGACGCGCCGCACCATACGCATTAATAGAGAGTAGATCTATCGACGGTTCGAGCGCTAAAGGTTAAATTAACTATGCTACCTGATAAGTTAGTAGTTAGTTTAAATCGAATCTACCTCTCGCGAAAATATACCTATATACATTAAGATTTGTGACAACGATTAAATTGATAAATAATAGTTTAAAAAAACTAACAAAATACGCTTTTTTTTTACAATAAAATATTTTTTTCTTACATTATTTTTATTTCAAATTTATTAAAATTTATTTTCTATTTTTTTAATTGGATTTTCTATAAAAGCGTATTTTGTTAATTTTTTTTTTAACTATTATTTATTTTTAATTTTTTTGGTTTGAATTTCAAGTTTTTCAATATATTTTTTTTAATATTGAATCAACATCGATTCTTAATAAGTACCTATACCAAACAAATTTCGAGTTAATCCGACGTTTTGAAGGGGGTCAAAATCATGTTCAAAGATTCCGTTACAAACATACAACATACGTCTGAAGCTAATAAAAGCGTATTATAAAGACAATTAACTTCAGAGCTTTCCACTTACTGGCCTAGAAGATCAGCGTGATAGTAATTGTCCGATAACTTGTCCAAAAACGACCTTGGCTCCAGGATGAAAGTCGGGAGCACGACCTTTGAAAGGTCCATGCCGGGCCTGACCTGTTTCAGCAGGAACCAAAGCAGAGATTTGTTCTCTTCCGCTACTTCCTCCACCAATTCTCCTGCCTGAAGGAAGATCCCGGTTACATTCGGTCATTAGCACAATAAAAACACGCGGACCAATCGATGGTAAGCGTTTCTGGTGGCAGATAACATAAAAAACAAGAGAACAGATGCCACGGGCAGAGCCTGCCAACCTGCCTACCTTTCGTATGAAAAACCTCGCATTTCTTAAAACTATTCTAGCGTCAACTATTTGTACGTCTATTTTATTATCAAGTTTCATCACAGACAGATCAACATTTATCTTTATTTACAAACAGTAATAACCGTTTGACAAACATTAAAAAAATTATTTTGCAATAATTGTAATTTTTTCTTGGCTTCATTGACTTTTTTTATTGCTTAGATGGGTGGATGAGCCCACAGCCGACTTGATGTTAAGTGGTTACTGAAGCCCATAGACATCTACGACGTAAATGCGCCACCCGCCTTGAGATATAAGTTCTAAGGTCTCAGTAAAGTTACAACGGCTACTCCACCCTTCAAACCGAAACACATTACTGCTTCACGGCAGAAATAGGTGGGGTGGTGGCACCCACCCGTGCGGACTCACAAGAAGTCCTACCACCAGTAAAAACTACGCGCCTTCTTCACGTGTCTCTTGTTCTCATTGGGACTATTCAATATCCATTGCGTGGTTTATAAGTAGACGGAGACACAAAATAGTGGCTTAGCTCACTGAGAGACATGGTCGATCTGAAGGCCTACCTACCTGGGCTTTTTGTTATTAGCTCCATTAAAACCAATCATTCGATTAGGATCGCGTAATACTAACAGCTCCGATTTCAATGTCCGGATCTTCGATGTAGCACCTCTCGATCCTGGCCAGGACGCTCTGCTTCCTGGCGGTCGGATCCTCGTGGACCGGCTCCGGCATCCCGCCCCTCGAACCTTCGCTGTCAGTGTCAGAACCGACGCCGGCTAATTCTGTTGGAGGTGCGACTGTTTACTGGCCAAATACAGTCTAGCTACAGCTGCTAGCCGGATAAAGCGTGCAAGCAATGGCCATGGTCATGATTATGGACAGTGGTCAGTTTGAGGAAGGTATTCTGGGCGATGCGGGCGAAAAGGTCGTATGAGTCGCTTCGTGCGATTATCGACTTTCGCACAATGAAACTCATATTGGCGGTTAATTAGGAAGCTTAGGGTATGATTTTGTGGAATTTTTGCTACACAGTAAAAGGGGATTCCCCCATTTCCGAGTGCGAGAGGAGTTATGCAGAATTACGCTATCGAGCTAATTTAGGTGCTTGAGATCAAAAACCACACAGTGTTTCTATAATTTACTTTTGTACGTGAGGAATCCGGGGCCGACTATCTTATAAAAACCCGGGTTTGACCCGTTTATTTCGGACTCACCCAAAATAAAAATTGTTTTAAAAAAAAGTGATAATAAAACAACAAAGACAGTGCAATACATCCATAAAGCTTGGCATATGATCGAATTTCGATAAATGACTAAGAAATTAGGAAGTCAAAGTTCGAAGCTAATGGAATTCGTATGAGGATTTACTGTCCCTTTCTTGCAAAGGGTTTTAGGTATAGTTATATTGGACAACGAGACACAAACATTGTAGTTCTTTATCGAGTCTAGGTGGGTAGAATGAAATAAAACTTGCGAGCGGACTCTGCCCTGACACCGAGTCAATCTTAGCTGGTCCAGGAGTTGTGTCGCGTGACCTGATCAATTATAAACCCTAAAAATCAGGAACATTACTCCCTACCTTAGTCCGGACTCCAGCATTAAGACTACAGTGAGTGATATGATTCGGCTCTCATAAACAATGACGTCACAATTCGAATTTCAAACCGAACTATCTTCCCGACCGTGATCAGTATTGTCGCGATTTCCGAACACGACCGAACCTGATTCGTGTCTAAACACAACACAGTACATCAGCCCGTCGGGGTATTCAAGAAACTGACCTCTATCGCAGAAGACGTCCGCTTCCTTCTCCGGGCACATTGCGTAATCGAAGCTCCTCGTGAAATCGGACAGAATAGCAGAGTCGATCGAAAACTTCCTAAGCGGATCCGCGTCCGGGAACGCGGCCGGCTCGGAATACTGCCGCGTCAATTTCTTCTTACGTTTCAGCAGCGAGAAAATGCTCGAACGCCTCCTGATCGGTTTGGTGTGGCTCATTTTCTCCGTCGCCACAAAATCGACAATTTCACTTTCCATAATTGGAAACCAATGTGTCCATATTATAATACAGTCTCCATTTAAACGTATTCAGTGCGAAGATGCATTTTTTACAACGAAATCAGCTGAAATGCGATTTTTCAAGGATCGCGCGAGCGTTTATAAATCGATCTTCGATTTTCATTATATTTTACGCGTATTTTAAATTATTATGATACACACACATACGAACACAGAAAAACTGATCAAATCTATAACTATATATAAATGAATTGCCGTTCGTTAGTCTCGCTAAAACTCCAGAACGGCTGGACCGATTTGGCTAATTTTGGTCTTGAATTATTTGTGGAAGTCCAGAGAAGGTTTAAAAGGTAGATAAACATGAAAATGCTCGGAATTAAATAAAAATAGCAATTTTGTTTTTCCTTTGATGTATTCCCCGTCGGACGTATTCCTTTTGTTTGTTTTAAGTTTATTTTATACAAACTTCCCGTGTGGTCCCTTTTCAATTTAGTCCAGTTCTGATAATGGTATCCATGAGAGAACCATATAAGTCTTAAATTTGCATTAAGTACGTGCGCGACAAATAGATGAATAACTCAATAACTCAATATCACGCCAACCGATTTCGATGATTATTGTTTTTAGTGTATATTAATTTGTTTTGGAATATCTTTTTTTTTCTATTTGAAGTCGGTTTTTGTTAAAGCATGTTTATTTACAATTACATAAACATCAAATTCAATTTTTTAAATATCAAATTTAGTTTCTATTGGAGTCATGGTCATGTTTTTTTGCGTTTTCTTCTTTCTTTTTTATTTTTACATGATAACGTCTTATAATTAAGTCGACTATTATCAAAGCCGGCAATGTGACTTTTGGACAATTATTGGTAAATCAGAAAAAACGAATTATTGACTTTGTATTCCACTGGCAGTCACAAAACTCTTCTGAACGACATCTTAGATAAATAACAGGTTAAGTATTAACCTTTATTTAATGCAGGTTTTGAATCGTATTCTTTGAAGGAGACGATTATATTCAAATCAATCTGTATTGACATATCAATAACATTTTTTTGTTCAAATGCACAGATTGCCACCTTTGATAATAGACGACTCAATTCGATGAACACCGGCTGCACGCACGAAAAAGTGTCACGTTCCGCCTGAGCCTGAGCGTGCGAGCGAAAGCGCGGAACAAGCGACAGAGAGGCACGATCGGCCCAAGCGTTGGCTTGTGACACTTTCATCTCTCTTCTCGCGTGATGTCAGAGCTAGCAGTTCGAATAGTTCTGCTACTGACGTTATCACGTTAAACTATCGTCCGTATACCGACTTTACAGACAACGAATAAAAAAAAATTCAGCCCAAACTCGTCCTCCGCTGGCCATAGACCTTTCCCAAGGTTCGCCACAACATGTCCAGCAATACTCTACATACAACCAGCAAATTTCGGATACTGTTTAATAATTATTGTTAAACTAGATCAAATATCACATCCCACTATTGTAGCCTTTGAATTAATCTGACGCGATAAAGTCAAACGAAGCAAGGCTGTTCATCTCGCGTCATAGTCGACAAATATTTAGAAAACGAACATTGTTAAAAAATTTAAAGGCTTTGATAACAAGTTCTTTTTATATATACTAGAGGTCCCACAGTAGTCGAAATTCGACTATAATTAATTGGAATTGTAAGTTTGTTGTACACATACTATAATCACAAATTTCGCCAAGACTACACTATAAAAAATATTAACAAAGACTTACAATATTTAATCTATTCTTAATTTGACAACAGACGCTAAGAACAAAAGTTTGACAATAAATAGTATGCATGCGTGTGTGCGTCAAATACATCGTATGTAGTGTGTGTAATGTTTTCTTTATTGATTTAATGTATCTTTTATGCATTATTTTAAAAAAATATTAGCATTTGCACTTATTCTCTATATTCTCTATAAGTATGGAAAATTTCATACTCCTCCGTCCACGCAATTTTCGTAAAAAGGGATACAAAGTTTTTGCTTCACGTATTAATATATAGATATATACATATATGTATATCGAAAGGTGTTTTTTTTTTAAAGTCTAAACCAACATTTTTCCTTGTAATTAAAAGTGCGTTTTATTTGATGCTAGCATCAACAGTTAATAATACTCATGAAATCACATTAGGGGTTATAAGGCTATTTAATTTAGTTTAAGCGACATTTTTGCAACTTTATAGGAGAGCCATTCAAAATCTAAAATTTGGAAACAATATCATTACAACAAAAAAAACTTCTTCAGCTATTCGAATGGAGTAAACTTAATCGATGTTCAATTAAAAACATCGAACTGTTGATGCTGATACCAAATAGAACGCACCTTTAATTACAAAGATAAATGGCGCGTGTTAAACGATTTTTTTTATGTTGCTTCGATGGGTGGACGAGCTCACAGCCCACCTGGTGTTAAGTAGTTACTGGAGCCCATAGACATCTACAACGTAAATGCGCCATCCAACTAGAGATATAAGTTCTACAGTCTCAAGTATAGTTACAAGGGCTGCCCCACCCTTCAAACCGAAACGCATTACTACTTCACGGCAGTAATAGGCGGGGTGGTGGTACCTACCCGTGCGGACTCACAAGAGGTCCTACCGCCAGTAAGCTGTGGTGGTATGTCGCTTAAACCAAATAACTTTTGAAACCTCGACACTGTCATGTCTATTGCCTTTGGAAGAAATCGTGATTTTTCATACAAGTGTATTATCAAAAATCTATTTTTGGAAAATACCTACGTCATTATTACGTAATTCTAACACGCGCATGCGATTTCTTTTTTGAGGTCACGAACGTTAAAATTATACATTATCTATCTATACTAATATTATAAAGAGGAAAGATTTGTTTGTATTGAATAGGCTCCAAAACCACTGAACCGATTTGAAAAATTCTTTCACTGTTTGGAAGCTACACTATAACCGAGTGACATAGGCTATAATATTTTTTGATAAAAATTAGGTATCCTTACTAAAACTTCAATAATGTAACACAAGGTGTAAAAAAATTTCCTAAAATATTCTTTACATCGCGTGCCCTGTGAAAACTCAATAGTTTTCTTCAATAAGATAGAATAAGATAATGTACTACGACTTTGTAGAACACATTATTATTTACGAAAAGTGTCGCGACAACATAATAATATGTCTAACTATTATAGTTATGCCGCAATAAGTGTTCTTTTATTTAAAAAAATAAAACAACGTCAAATATCGTTGAAATTTTTGTTAAGGACCCGAGCGGAGCCGGAGCGTCCCGCTTGTATTGTATATATTAATACGTGAAACAAAAATTTTGTACCCCTTTTTTACGAAAATTGCGCGGACGGAGGAGTATGAAATTTCCCACACTTATAGAAAATATAGAGAAGGAGCGCAGAAAGTAAATTTTTTTTTTTTAATTATGCATAAAAGATACTTTATAACAATTAAAAAAAAACATTACAAACATTACCATCAATTTGACACACACACGCATGCATACTATCTGTTTATTGTCAAACTTTTCTTATTGCTTATAGTCTGTGGTCAAATTGAGAATAGATTAAATATTGTTTGTCTTTAATATTTATCTAAAGTGTAGTCTTGGCGAAAATTGTGATTATAGACGTATAATGAATAGTCTTTAGCAATAGAATCATAATAGTGTACAAACTTATAATTTTAATTAATTATAGCCGAATTTCGACTACCGGGTGACCACTAATATAAAAATAAGAAAATAGTTATAAACTAAA